CACCACTAATTAAAATAAAACCACAGACACAGAACAGGCTCCCACCCACTCAAATACAGAGAATAGTGTTGTTTTATAAAGCTTACACTGGTTGCAGTTATAATCTCAGAGATAAGGGCTCCAGGAGCACATATCATATGATACTAAGTCAGAAATGTTATCACATGTTAAACAAAATCAATAAGGATAACAATTAAAAATGTTTTACCTATTATCTCCATGTTTTTCCTTTTCAATATTAAAATTTTCTAAATTTTCCTTTTACAATGAATTTTTAAAAATAACCCAACCTCACTGTAGTGCAGTGTTTGTGTGTACTAAAAATTGGTCAGAATCTTAAATGCATTTTTCTTTGACTTCCCACGGAATCCCTCCTTCGTTAACATGTTACAAATAGCACTTAAATCTTACTCCACTTAAAATGTACTATCATAGATACTACAAAAGCACAAAAACCAGTTGGAAGTTATTAAGCAGTAACTTCCTTTTAAGTAATGTATGAAAAAGAAAGCAAGAAATCCAGCATGTACACCATTGAGGAGAAAGAAAACAGATGATGGGGAAGAAGTGGTGAGCCGTCTAAAGGTCTCCCAGGGGCGGCCGTGGCCTTAGTAGGGCCCTTCTGCTCTTTGGAGTGACCATGGCATAAAGACTGTTTAATAACAGGAAGAAAACGGTCTCAAAATTACATGCCAGACACATTCCTAAGTATTTTGACTAACTCAACTATCACATCTGTAAGATAGGTATATTATTATCGCCCAAGCACAGAGGTTAAGGAGATCCTATGCCTACAAAGTAGTGAATCTAGGATTAGAAGCTAACCCACATAAAGAAGACGGCAAACAAAAAAGGGGAGGTATTATGATGAATGTTTTGTCATAGTATAAGAGGTCAAGAATCATGTGTGTTTTGGGGTACATGTAATGTTATAGACTGTTATTGAAGATTTATGTTCACTGACTAGTTAAATAACAATACAGGTAACAAGAACAAAGCACACTGCGTCTGTGCTCTGTGGTCTCTTTCACATTGTAAGCCAAGAAAGAGGCTTTATTGAAGCTAATCAGCTCATCTCAAAAATTGTAAAAAAAATCTTCCTTTTCCAGCGTTTTGTATTCAAAAAATAATATGTAACTATTATATATAACATGTTAATATGGCTTTGTCATAAATTTCAATTTTTTAAATTTTGCAATGTAATAATCTACAAAGCTTCCACAGAGAAATTTTGTTGTTACAGATTCAATGGCGTTTTGATAAAATACTGACCATATTACTGATGGCTTTATAAAAAGACTTTTTTTGTCTGTTTGTTTGTTTAAGAGAGAGATAGAGGGCATGAGTGAGGTGAGGGGCAGAGAGAGAGAAAGAGAGAGAGAGGGAGAGAAAATCTTAAGCAGGCTCCACACTCAGCACAGAGCCCGATGTGGGCTCGACCCCACAACCCTTGGGATCAAGAGTGGAATGCTCAACTGAGCCACCTAAAGCCCCTAAATAAGACTATACTTTAACAAGGCTCTCTTGGTACTTTAGAAAATATTAAAATCTCCATGATATGGTAAAAAGCAAACAAAATAAATTCCAGATGAATCAAAGAAGTACAGGGAAAAAATAAATCACATATAGAAAACCAGTAGAAAACCTATTTGACTATTTATCCAAGTTCTAGAGACTTTCTCACACTAAGACATTATTTGGGGAAAAAAAAATCATAAAAGGAAAGAGTAACAGACAACTAAGAGAAGCCTTCCTGTGTTAAAATACAACAAAAAGAAGTAGATGGAGAATAACAAAATAAGTATGAATTAATTACGACTTTTCATTTACTTATTTTTAGCAAATATTCTTCAAGGCAATATTATTCAGTGACGATGCAGTAAGACGGACATTCTAATAGGAGTGGGAGAAGTACCAACTGGTACAATTTTTTGGTGAAAGGAATTTGAAAATATGTATTAAAAGTCTTAAAAATGTTTAAATTGAATGGGAGAATCATGGTTTTGAAATGAAGTAAACCTCAATTCCAGCTTTTTTTTTTTTTTTTTTTTTTTTTTTTTTTTTTTTTTTTTTACAGTTTATTCATTTATTTCGAGATAGAGTGAAAGCGTGAGTTGGGGAGGGGCAGAGAGAGAGGGAGAGACAGAGAATCCCAAGCAGGCTACGCACTGTCAGCGCAGAGCCCAGTCTGGGGCTCCAATGCAGGAACCGCGAGATCATGACCAGGGGCCCAGGTGCCCCAATTCAAAACTCTTATTAGCTCTTTGACCTTACAACAGTCCCCACGGCCTCTTTCCAGAGATGAGTAATACGAAGTAGCTGATGGATGTGGGGAGGGGAAGAGGTGGGGACGGAAGGAGACGAGCAGATGGCAGTTATCGGTCAACATGATAGAATCTTTAGCTCATATACATTGAGTACTAATCAGAATATTTTCTACTTTTTTATGTACGAAGATTTTGCAGTTTTATCTTAAAGCAAATTCTTTTCCTAATCTTTGGTTTTCCCACTGTCATCACATTACTTTGAAATCTCTGGAATCAATCACTTTGGAATCAACTACTGAATTGATCAATTACTGAATTGGTTTCCCCCACACACAACTTCGCATCTGTTCACTTAACCCTCCTGCCAGATTAGTTTTCCTGACACACAGTTCTAACGAGCTGCATGACTCACAGACCTTCTTTGATCATCCCTCACCAGTCATCCGCAGAATAAAGGACAGAAGGGGAACCGGAAAGAATTCGAGAGCCTAGAATGAGCCAAGGATTTTACAAACACCAACTCCCAGGAAAACAGATGTTGTATTGTTATTCCCACACAGGTGAGGCAGCAGAAAAGTAGTGTAGGTAATATATGGTGGAAACAAGACAGACGTCACATTTGAACCTGTATCTGTCACTATACCATCCTGCTCTGCAGTCTCTTAGCACAGCCATCAGAGTCAACAAGGCATTTTCCTTGGACAACAGACTTTCTGCTAAAGCCATCTAACGTCCAGACAGATAAAAACAAGCACTACTTTTTCTAGTTCATATCATTCTTTATGCCTAGACCTCCACACTACAATAGATAAAACTATTTATGTGTGCATCTCAAATCTCAAATGCCACTGCTACTTTCCTATTAATTCTTGAATAGCCTCAAGGTATGATCTCTGCTTTCATTTCCTGTCGTACTTAATTACTTAAATCAGCAATTCACTGACCAGGTCATGCCATTCATTATAAATTTCCTAAGCATTTGCTCTGTGCCAGGAATTGTGATGGGTCCTGGGAAGAAGTAATAAATGCACGTGATCATTCTCTTTGAAGAGCCAGCAGGTACATTGCTTTAGGTCACTTATCACAGGCTTGCTGGCATTACAGTAATCACTGTAAGTACCTAATGGCTCTTCCAGGTTGTTAACATTTGTGAGACAGATCCTTTTTTATTGATCTGTGTGTCCCTAAGAGCATCTAACATGCCTGGCACACAGTAGGAACTTAGAAAATATTTGCTAAATGATTGAATGACAGACTTTGTCATACATTCCCACATTTTGGATTCTGTTTTGTAACTGTTTTATAATTTACCCCTACACTGAGTTGCGTGCCTTTCCTCATGGTCTTCCCAGCACTCCCATTATGTTTTGAAACAAACTTTGTTTTTGAGAGAGAGTGAGTGCAAGTGAGGGAGGCACAGAGAGAGAGGGAGACAGAGGAGCCTAAGCAGGCTCTGTGCTGGGCTCAATCTCAAGAATCACAAGATCATGACCTGAGCCCAACCTGGAGGCTTAACTGACTGACCCACCCAGGTACCCCCTTATGTTTTGTATTTAGATGCTGAAACAGAGGACCAGGAAGGTGATGTTACTGGGCTGGAGGGCTCACTGCTTTTAATTAACAAAAGTGGAAGTTGAAGGCAAGGCAGAAGACAATGGATTTGATTCATCATATTATACTGCTTCTCAACTCAATGACTAGTTCAGTACTTCAATGAACACAAAGGAAGTTTACTAATTTACCAAATTTTGTCCATACAAGATCTCAATGTGCATTTTACGGTTATTTAGAATATGATAGAGCTAATTTGCTTTATAATTTCATCATTAAATGCAAGTCATTTTTTTTTTTTTTTTTTTTTTTTTTTTTTTTAACGTTTTTTACTTATTTTTGGGACAGAGAGAGACAGAGCATGAACGGGGGAGGGGCAGAGAGAGAGGGAGACACAGAATCGGAGACAGGCTCCAGGCTCTGAGCCATCAGCCCAGAGCCCGACGCGGGGCTCGAACTCACGGACCGCGAGATCGTGACCTGGCTGAAGTCGGACGCTTAACCGACTGCGCCACCCAGGCGCCCCGCAAGTCATTTTAAATTGAATAGTTGTATTTGAAAATAAAACTCATTCACCAAAATATATTCTGTACCATCCACATTCTACCCAGCCAATCTCACTTTCCTATGTATTATACAAATAGAGATTTTAATAGTTTATGTATTTGATGATTACAGAAAAAGGAAAGGGCATTAAGTAGAATAAACAGCTTATATAAAGGTATATATATCTCCTTGGGAAGAGAGATTGCTAAAGACATGTTTAATAAAAGTTTATAAATGCCTTATTCCTGTGACACTAACTCTGAAAGGTATACTTTTCATTAATTTTATATTATATTTTGATTGTATACTCTACCTTAATCATGGTAACAGTAGTTTAAGCATATTTATAAAACTCAAGCTAATTAAAATAAAATGTTTTAAAAACTGAAATGAATAATCTTTTAATTGAATATTAAACATGGAATTCTCAAATTAAGTTATTATTAAAGAAAATGAATTAAAGTTTCAGGAGCTGTTAATTTCAATATTTTTAAAACCTTCAATATGTAAACTCATATTTGAAACAATGAACAGGTCAAGTGATATACAGGTGTTTCTAAATAATATTCCAAGTAAAGTTCAATGTATAGAAATAGGCAAAAGTGAAAGAAATTTACTAACATTTAAAGGTCTTACCTACTAATATTCTATTCTTCTTGATGCCACTTTTTACTTCATCATCAATCAAATCTGTGAGCACTTTACACATTACATTGATTGATTCAAGGTGTTCTGGGCAGTCATTAGATATTTTAAATCTGTCAAACCATACATTGGAGATTCCTCCTTTGATAGGAGTATATGGCCTGTTTAAAACCAGAAAAAAAAAAAAGAAGAAAAAAAAGGAAAAGGGAATGTTATTAAAAATGAATGTTTCACTTTCTAAAATACTAGTATGTTGAATAATTTCATTTTCCTCCAAGTTTTAAAAGTTAAAGAATTCATATTAAAAGCAGCCTCAGGCATACTGCATTAACTTGCCTATAATTACATTGATTCCATTAACATTTACTAATAGTCAACTCATCATCTTTCCTTATTCTCTCCATCTTTTCATATTGATAAATTCTCCAGAAAATCCCCATGAAAAAAGGAATTATACATATAAATTAATATATATATTTACAAATTAATTATAAAATTAATAAATACATAGTGTGCATGCATATATTTTCTTCTGTTCAATTTAAATGACTGATTATTCAGGTCTATTTTTTTTTAATTTGTTTTGATTTGCCTTAGGCCCTTTCTCACCCTCTTGTCCCCCTGTAAATATAGGGTCAATATTTTAGTATTCATAGCTAAGTGAATAATTTTTATCTCTGCAAAAAGTTTAATACCACAAGAGTGGAAAAAAACATTCACCAAAATGCTTTTAAAAAGTGGTTAATTTCGGGGCGCCTGGGTGGCGCAGTCGGTTAAGCGTCCGACTTCAGCCAGGTCACGATCTCGCGGTCCGTGAGTTCGAGCCCCGCGTCGGGCTCTGGGCTGATGGCTCAGAGCCTGGAGCCTGTTTCCGATTCTGTGTCTCCCTCTCTCTCTGCCCCTCCCCCGTTCATGCTCTGTCTCTCTCTGTCCCAAAAATAAATAAACGTTCAAAAAAAAAAAAATTAAAAAAAAAAAAGTGGTTAATTTGTAGCACTTAAGTATGAAAGATGAGTTCATAATTTAAGAGCTTTCTTGATCTCATCCAGATCATTCTTAGAATGGGGGCTAAATTTTTGTTTAATCAAGAGTTGGAACTTTTATCTTCTCAGGAAACTTGAAATCAGAGTTGATCAGGAAACTTGAAATCAGAGTTGAATGGGGGTACAAGTAATCTTTGGAAGCACATGATCATACAGATATTCCATACTGTTTGCATCATTTGGGTCTCAGGCTGGGTGCCTCGTTGGACTCACGTTTTATGTGAGAAGATACTCTAGTTGGGTGCTCTGAATAAAACTGATCTTACATGATGCTTTATATTTACGTATAAGGTTGAGATGGTTACAATATTAGTGAAGCTTATTCATTGTGTCAAGGTATTCCAAATGTTCTGTTTTAACCAATTACAGTGGGATTAAGGGTTCCTGTGTTCATGTCCTATGTTGGTAAAGGTAAATGAAGGGAAATGAAAACAATCTTACACGCTCCTCTAAACAAACACAGAGGTACCCAAGGATCTATAAGAATAAACATGGAGAACGAAGGTTTTCCAAAGATGAGGGATAAGAGGATTTGATAAAAGAAACTGTTTTCCACTTGGCCAAATGTTCTTTCCCCTTACATGACAGTGAAAATAGGATTTATGTTCCATGCAAGAAAGCCCTAGAAAACACAACCAGCGCTAAACCTACCCATCATAGGGACTCCTGGGTGGCTCAATTGGTTAAGCATCTGACTCTTGATTTCAGCTGAGGTCATGACCTCACGGTTTTTGAGTTTGAGCCCTGTGTTGGACTCTGCACTGACAGTGTGGAGCCTGCTTGGATTCTCTATTTCCCTCTCTATTTGTCCCCTCTCCGGGCATGCATGCACGTGCGTGCTCCCTCTCGCAAGAATAAACTCAAAAAAAAAAAAATAATTCAAGCATCCATCATAACAAGAAATCTAAACCAATAATGATCACAGATGCAGAATTCCTCCTATATTTACCACTTTGCCCAACTCAGAGTTAGCTGTTTACTCTCACCCTCCAAAGCGAGTGAAATAAAAGTATGAAATATACAGGTAGAACAACAACAACAACAAAACGGAAGGCTGAAAGACACTGAGACCTGTATGTTCTTTAGTGAAAAACCAAGTAGAACCTCAGTAAACCCTAAAAGCAGAACCTCAGTAAACCCTAAAAGCTAGTTAGATTCAATCCTTATTTTCTTATCCACTGGATCAAAAGGACCCTAATGTCTCTGCAGATCTGTCCTTGGGTAATACCCACTCTTTGGGACCAATGGGTGGTACTGAAGACAACGGAACTCATTTTTCTATATTGATCATACCACTCCAAAATAAACCGACATCCACTTTCGGTGCCTGGAAACCAAGAGGATTATATTTGGAAAGTTTCTCAGAGAAACTGAAAGCAATCTAAAAACAAGAGCTCATCTACAAAGGGCCTTGTTTATTTACAAAAACAGAAGAATGTTATAAATGTTACTTTGCAATACACTATCTAAAATCTGAATGTGTATTTTGAGTATCCCTCAAGACAGTACATAAAAACCTACATTTTCTCCTTGTTTATGAAGGTATATGATATTTTGCAAATATGGGAAAGTACATGTGTGTGCTGTTTTGAGGGTTTTCATATAAATCTTACTGATTCTGTGCACCACTCCACCTCCCCACTGCCCCTCCCCCACATCCTGCCCTTCACACTAAGTAAACCATGTTTAGATCTGGAATATACAACCCCGAAGGTGTTTCTTGCACATACATTAAAACATATATCTTTATAGGATATGTTTTACAGCACTATTTTCTTTTCAAATATGAAATAGCCCATTGGCTTTTCTTATGTGCATCATGCTTCCTCCCTTAACAAGACCTTATGGATATCCTTCCATCTGATAGAGTTGGAACTCATCCTTTTAAATGGCTGTATAATTAATACTGATGCTCCACAGTGTCATCAGCCATTCCCCTACTAATGGGCATTTGGTCCTCAGGTTTTAGCCACTAAGAACAGTGTGGCATTAAACATATTTGCATATATATTTTTATGTACTAGGACTTTAATTCCTATGAAAAAGTCCAAGTAACAGAGCTGCTGGATTGAAAGATACAATTTTTATGTTATTAGATGTTTCAAAGTTACTCCCATTAAGGCTGTAAAAAATTCACCTTTATGCAAGAAAAGAGAACATCCTTTTGTCCACAGCCCTAACTGCAATAGGTGCTAACATCCTTTAAAATATTTAAGGGTATCAGCTACAGTTTTAAATCAACTTTCTTGAGGTATAATTCACATACATAAAAGTACATGTTTAAGTATATAAGTCAAAGACCAAACAATGTAATCATCTCCACAATGACACAGAACATTCCCTTTACCTCAGAAAATTCCATCATGGTCCTTTGCTAGCAATTCCCATTTACTTCCCAGGCAAATGCTGAGGGATTTTTATCACGATAGAATAGTGTTTTCTGTTCTAGAACTCAACATCAATGGAATTACCTATTTGTACAATTTGCTATTTTTTTCTACTGTGGTTTAGATTTTATTGCTTTAGAAGAGCACTTGGTCTATAACTGACACTTAAATAGTTGTCATTTGTACTTTAAGTATTTTTTAACATCTATTTTTACATATTGACATTATGTATTTATGGTGTCTTTTTAAAAATCAGATAAAAGTAACTGCATTTGATATAGTCTGTCCTTAAAAAACAAAAAACCAACTAAAATTTATAGGTCTCCTGATTTAAGAGGGCTCTTTTCTAATCCATACATGTTTACATATGGAATTCAAAATTTTCTTCTATGATTTTCGTTTTCACTTTTATATTTAAGTCTTGAAATTTCCTGGAATTTATTTCATATATGAAGTGTCATAAGAGTTCAAGTTTGGGGCGCCTGGGTGGCTCAGTCGGTTGAGTATCCGATTTCGGCTCAGGTCATGATCTCACAGTCTGTGAGTTCGAGCCCCGCGTCAGGCTCTGTGCTGACAGCTCAGAGCCTGGAGCCTGTTTCAGATTCTGTGTCTCCCTCTCTCTCTCTCTGACGCTCCTCCGTTCATGCTCTCTCTGTCTCAAAAAAAATAAATAAACGTTAAAAAAAAATTTAAAAAAAAAGAGTTCAAGTTCATTTTCTCCCATGTGGATAATCAATTGCGTCTGTACTACTACTACTAAAAGAAGAAAAAACATCTTTCACAAAGGTGAAATTCCATTTTTTCCATATATTTAATTTTATAGTTCTGACTAATCTCTCAAACTAGGTTCTGTGAGAGTTAAGTCCTGATGTCTAACGCGTACTATATATAATAAATGGACTTCTCTCCAATGGATCTGGAATGGTACTAGTTCTGTATTATCCTTGGGGAAATCAAGAAAACAATAACTGAAACCATTTCCTGTGCTTTGTGATTCAGGTGAAGAACCCTGGTGGAGAAAGGCTCTATTTTGTTCTACTGATGTATTTACCCATCCTGTGTTAGGATCCTATTGAGTGTATTGAAGTGGCTTTACAGGATGCTCTGAAGTTGAGTAATGCAGTTACTCTCTATCATCATCAAAACCAGTCTCCTTTTCAGACTTGCCCTGCCTCTTCTCAGGCATCCATTCTTTCTCACTTATCTAAGAAATTAATCAAATACTTAGTAATTTTTAAAATGATTTCAAATACTCCTTAAAAGTCCTTGTGGGATTTTAATTAATATTGCATTATTCTATGGGAATTAACACTTGATGACATAAATCTGACATAAGGGAAGATTTTTGCAGACTGAGCTCTTCCCAGGAATTGCCACATTCATATAGGGCTTCTCCTGCATTGTTCTCCAAGCTTTCAATGGGTGCACATGAGATAAAGTTTTCCATCACATTTCTACTAGCACTCCAATAGAACCTACCTCCGCCCTCATTCTGCAGGCCTTCTGACCTCAGAAGCTGCTTGGCTCAAGAGAGGTAAATAAATTGGAATCAGAAGGGGAGAGAACACAGAAAGCATTCAAGCCTCCCACCTCCCAGAATCCCTTTCTGTTATTTAAGAATAACTTTCTTAAAGTACTCTGAAAATGAAAGCAGGTGGTTTCTACTAGTATTAATGTCAGCGGAAGACAAAATGAAATCCCAAACTGTATTCAATTTGTCATTGAAATCAG